GGGGGGGGGTGGGGGGGGCGCAGCGCCCCCCCAAGCAGCAGACCACAGCCACGTAAAACAAGTGCATGTTGAATGCGAAGAAAACAAAGAGACTGCGCCGGCCAGGGGACCTGCCGGGGGGGGGGGGGGACACCAGGGGGCCCGCCGGGGGGGGGGGGGGGCCATGGGGGGGCCCGCGGGGGGGGGGGGGGGGGGGGGTCGCCCCCCCCCCCCTGGGATTGTTTGGGACGGCAAAGGGGGAACTCTCGGCTTTCGTCCCCTCCCTTCTCAGGTATATATATATATATACACCTGAGACTTGAGCATGTTTTAAATGTGCGGCTGCTAGAACAAAGAGAAGAGCGCCTTCTTTCTTATTTTCCCTTAATTGTTCTTCGAGTAGTTGCATCACACGCTTTATCTGTGTGCGACGTGACAGGTTGCTTGTCCATCAAAGATTTAGCCAGAGAAGTCGCACAGGGCCAGTGCCGGCTTGAGACTGACGAGGCACGCAGTTTGTCCATCGTCCTATCTTGAACAAAGGAGTAAGTGCCCCTGACTGCATTCGAAAGCTATTTTGCGAGTGCGATTCAAGATATACAAAGTTGGAATGTGTTAGAAGACAGAAGATACTGTATCTTCTGACGACTTGTGCTGTTGTCGACTGATGCTGCCTCGTAGTTCTTCGTTCTTTGTTTTAAAAGCTACACTGCAATATTTAGAGCAGAACGTTCCAGCACGACAAAACAAAGGATTCAGCACCACAGCACTATTGTGTGTTCTCCCTATTTACCATTGCTGGAGCTCTTTGCCATTGGACTTTCAGTGCTTGGCCACTCAACGTTGAATTGCCTTGTCCGCAGAACGGAAAACTCCTCCGGAGTGTCTCCTTGGTCGAGGTCACGCTGGCTGCAGACTCAGTGAAGATTGCCAACAAAATATACTAAAGGCTTGTCGAAAGGCTTCAATCTCTCAAACAGCGACTACTGGTTAGACGTCAAGCCATTGAATGCAGTGCCATTGTGCAGAATTGAAACTAGACGCAAGATGTTGCTTTTGTGAGCCGCTTGGATCTTGAATCTTGTTTGCTTGTTGTGAAGCAGAGTAAACTATTGCAAACCATCCATCATGTGGGTGCTGACATAGAAAGATGATTTGACTCGGATTCCATTTGCAGAAACGCATCAAAAACGTCAAGTTCCCCCCAACATGGAAGCGTATTTGATCATTTTCTTTCTTTACCAGCTTCCTGGTGGTCTACCCCCTCCTCCCTGAGCCGGATCCCTAAAAAAGAGGTCGTTCGCATCACTGGTGGCCGCCTCGCCCTCGTGGAGGAAGAGCAGATCCTCGATGATGGTGCGGCGCTTGTTCTGAGCACCAACATGACACCCTAAACATCTATGTCTTTTCATCATTTCCTACATCGAGGTGTCAAGAACGCGTCTTCCCACCTTCAAGTCAAAGACTTCTTCAAAGAACGGAATACGGGCTCTTCTGCGTCCTTGCTACTAGCAGACATGTACCTTAAATTGAACCTTACTACAGTGCTACGGCACAGCTTACTTCAGCTTCCTACAGTCTAATATCTCCTACAGCTACACTCTACTTGCTTGTATCATGTATCTGCTTACTGTACATCCCCCTGCTGCCCCACTCCCCTACTCTGCCCGGTCACCAGTCTTGGCACCGCTCACCAGGCCGGCGACGCCAGTTTCTGCAGCGCAAGCTGCATGGAAAACTTATGCGGAAAGAGGCAAACAAATATCGAAACTTTGATTTTTACTTTCAATAATCAAACCGTTGATGATTCGCAATCGGACACATATCAAGAGATTTGGCATGGTTTTGCACATTGATAGGTTGGAGAAGTTTCTGAGACGGGATAGTGTGTTCTGCCACATCCTGAAACCTATTTTTTGCTCGCTGTGAGACCCCCGTGCGTGGAGCATGGCGGTGTGTAAGGGAGCGGCTAGGTTTGGTTGTGACCCCAGATGTTAGTGCGCAGCTTTGTAGCCGTACGGACTTGCTCCAATTTGCAGGAGCTGTCAAGTTTTCAGTGTTCCCAATCTGCGGCTTTACCTCAGATGGTTTTGGCCACGGCAGATGTGCAAGCTGCCAGTTTCCCTCCGCTGCTGTTTCTTGTCAAACGACAACAGCTTGCATGTTGTGAACACCCTGTTTAAGCACGAAATGTAGAGACAAAAAAGGTCAGCAACCTGAATCACATACCAAGGTTTGTTTCATTTTGTGTAGTTTTTTTCTTCATCATGGGTCGCCATGGAGGGATTAACATTCTGCACCAAAAGTCATGGCACGTTTGGCGTATGGAAACTTGGCTGGAAGAATGGCTTCAAAGAAGGGGATTACTAGGGGCTCCTGGCATCGCTACTAGGAGCAAGGACGCTACTAGCGGCTCCTGGCCGTACTACTAGGGGCTCCTGGTATCGCTACTAGGAACAAGAAGCTACTAGGCGCTCCTGACATCGCTACTAGGAGCAAGGACGCTACCAGGGGCTCCTGGCCGTACTACTAGGAGCAAGGACGCTACTAGGGGCTCCTGGCATCGCTACTAGGAGCAAGGACGCTACCAGGGGCTCCAGGCCGTACTACTAGGAGCAAGGACGCTACTAGGGGCTCCTGGTGGCATCGCCACTAGGAGCAAGGACGCTACTAGGGGCTCCTGGCCGTACTACTGGGAACAAGAAGCTTTGGTTTCTTGGATTGTTTTTTTCCGAAGGACAATCGCCTCCGTGTGGAGAGAGACGAGCTGCAGCATGCTGCCAAAGAGGCGGACAACTTAGCGGCTCAAAGGAAAGAGGCGGGAAGCCGCAAAGTCTTGAATTCAGTCTTTCATGTCTTTGATTTTGAAGCTAGGGAACCCACATATTTATGTAATTGATGGTCACAGATACATTGTACAGAGATATACTTAGTCTCTCATGCCTCTCCGCGTTGGAATATTTTCTTGTCAACGGAGGCCTTTGACGGCAAGCTGTTGAAGCTTCGCCGTGCTGCTGGCACTGAGATTGGCCAAAAGGTTGGCGAAAAGGCACCAGAAACGCTGTGAGGACAGATTTGGAAGTAAACCCGAGTCGATGGAGAAACTGGTTTGCTGGCAAACCCTACTAGACAAGTCACGATCAGAATCTCTGTATAAAGCTTAAGAGGCATTCTGATCATTCTGCAAAGGCTGTTCAGCCATGTTCAGCCAGTTGTCCACAAAGTCATAGCCTCATAGACTTTGCGTGACCTTTACTCCAGGCCATCGCCAAGGAGAGAACAGACCCTCAAGAGCGGCTAGGTAGAGATATTCAAAAAGGCTGGAATCTCTAGAAGCATTAGCAGCAAACCAATTTGCTGTAAACATTTGAAGATGGTCCAAATTGCTGCTGAAGAGTATTGGACAGGATAAACACCTGACAACTGATTCAATGCCTGTAGAGGTGATGACTACGGCAAGTATGGAGTTACGAAGTCGAACCTCATGGAGGCAGAGAAGAAGCTGAGATCCCAGACAAGAAAGCGTGATGAGGCCAGGACTCCACAGACCTTGGTCTTTGGTGCCTTTGCTTCGATGAACTTCCAAGCTTTGTGCAGGGATACTGGGGCAAAGAGGGCCTTGGGAGTGGGCCGCACATTAACCTGTAACTTTGCTGCATAATTGGGCTGGTGAGAAAACCGACAGCAGGCATCCTGCAGGATTGTCATTTGTCAAAATACGCATTGCATTGGCAGTTGCGGGTTGCGACTTTGCGTGCAGACACGAAGACGCGAAGATGCGTGCCTTATAGCAACCAATAAGTGGGTTTCAACATGTTTTTTGTGTTTAAAAAACAAGGTGAGCCCGCGGACCCAAAAGCAAAAAGAAGCGCGCAAAGGCCAAAACGAAGCGTCAGCCCCCTCCAGGCTTCGTGGCAACCATGATATTTCAAGCATCGCGGTTCTGGTGCGCATCCGTCCACCCCTGTCTGCCATATACACCCGCGTCCACCCCTTGGTCAGTTTTGAAAGCCCTCCAAAGCGGTCAGAAAACGATTGCAACATGGCTTCTAACAAGGAAGCGTGGAGCAGCATCAGCTCCCTCCATGCTTCGTTCCAACCATGAAATTTGAAGCATTGTGGTTCTGGCACGCAACCATCCTGCCGTTTCTGCAATGACTTGGGCTGTCTTCGGCATACACTGCACACATTCTGGACACCCAAGACCGTCATATAGGCCGCGCCAGACAGTTCCACTCGCGCAATAACGTTCTTCCGCGAGGCATGGAGTAGCATTAGCCCCCGTATGCTTCGTTCTACTTAGCATCCATCTTTCTTCCAGAGCCCCGTCCACGCCCGTCCACCCTCCCATCTCCATCCATAGCCCCGTCCACGAACATGCTTGCCTCGTCTCGCTCTGCCCCCCCACTAACGACTAAACTAAACGAGAACCCAAGCATCGGAGATTCTTTGGAAAAGGCACACATGTGTACTGCTGTGCCACCGCTACAGTGCATCACACGCGGTAAAATGCTTTCGGGTCATTCGTCTTCTAGTGTCTTATTTTTTGGCATAGATTTCCGGTGGCGGGCATCGTTGGCATGATCAGGGCGTCGATATGGCGGAGATATCCCAGGAGGAGAGGATTTGTCGTTTGTGTTTCTCGAACAAACTTTTGCGGGCTTCGATCTTAAGATTTTCCACCGGCGTAGACCCTAGATAGAAATATCGTTGCAGTAAGAAGAAAACAAGACGGTTCCCTTTTTAGTCGGGTTGGAGGTTGGATGTATTATATATATATATATTCTGACAGAATGCGCGTGATTTCCATGACGGTCGCCCTCACACACCTGCGCCCGCCTACATACAGGCCCAAACCGCCCTTTGAAAATAGCGCGCGTTTCGCTTTTCATGGTAGCGGAGCCCTGGCCGTAAGAGCCAGGGCTCCCGCGCGCGTTGCAAAACGATGAGGTCACCCTCGAGACCTCGACCGTCTGAGATCGAGCTGGAGTGGAGTGTGGCTGTGTGAGCTGCTAATCTTGGCCTGCTTGGCCAGCGGATTTTCCATTGGTGGGGTGCACCAGGAGATTTGCTACTACCAGAGCGGCGCACGACCAGCTGGCCCAGTAAAGATCAAAAGAAGGACCTTCCACAGCATATACGTGGAAGCGGACGACTACGTTGGGAAGCTCAAGTGGCTGAAGAGCGACAGAGCAGCCAAAGCAAGCCTCCTAGTGAGGGAGAAGAAGGCAAAGAAGAAAAAGGAAAAGGGATTGTCGAGAGCTCATAGTGGTTGTTCCTGCGAGCTGGCAGTTTCTGGACAAGCTTGAAGCGACAAGGGGAAGGCCAGATCGGTGCATTGGTGAGCCAGTGGAAGTTTTGGGAAGTCCTGACCTACAGTGGCATACCATTCGAGGTTGAGCAAGACGGTGCACACCTTTCCTCTGGTGCTACTATCCCACGCCAGCACAATTGCAGGGGATGGCAGACGAAAGTTTGAGGTTGGTGGCAGCAGCCTTGAGAAGTTGAGTGTGAACCAGGCCTCGCAATCCTGGTCAAGGCAGCATTTGAAGCCCCAGATGTGTTCAAACCCGACGCAAGGGACAATGAATTGAAGGTGTGGAGCGATTGGAAGTTTGCATTTTGCAGCTACATTCGAGGAATAGACCCGGCAATGGCAGCAGCTATGGATGTGGTGGAGAAGAAGGTCAACAGCGACTACACCTTCGACGACATGACGGATGAGATGAAGACCATGTCAGTGAGATTGTACAGTGTACTCGCATCATACCCTCGAAACCGCCCTTTGAAGCACATCAAGCAGGAGAATGGGTTCGGTGCTTGGCAATTGCTGTTGAAGGAGATGCAACCAGCGACAAGAGCGAGGAGCCTTGCTTTGTTGACCCAACTCTCAAGAGTGCAGTTTGCTGAAGGCAAACCACTAAGTGAGCAATTCCCTCAGTACCAAGCCATTGTGACAGAATATGAGCGCATCAGTGGACACGTCTATGCTGATGACGCCAAGGTGGCCTCGATCCTACAGGGATGCCCTGCCTACAGGAAGCGACGCCTTCAATTGTGGGTCGATGACCGCGCAACCTATGACTCACTGAAGGCAAAAGTCATGCAGCTGGAGTCGCTTTCCACGAGATGGGGCTCGAGCCACAGCTTGTCCCTTCCCACAAGAGCAAGCGCAGATGACAGTACGCCCATGGAGGTGGACGATGTTGGAAAATCATATGACAAAGGAAAGAAAGGTGAGAAGAAAGGCAAAGATGCAAAGGGCAAGGCGAAAGGAAAGGACAAAGGGAAGGCGAAGCAAGAAGGGAAAGAACTATGGAAGTTCTTTGACAAAGGCAAGAATGCATGGGAGAAAGGTCAAGGCAAGAAAGGAAAGAGTAATGAGCAAGGCCATGTGGCCAAAGAGTGCTGGAAACGTGTCCAGCAAGTGGTGCCGGCGATGTGGGAGAGGAAGTTGACCCGGTCATCAGCTCGTCGGATTGTGACATCAGTGGATTCCCCTTTCATCGACGTGGACCTCTTCTCCCTACCGATGGTGGTAGACAATGAAGGGCGCGGCGCGGGCATGAGGCGCCGAGCCAGATGTTTGTGACGGATCCGTTGCTGGAGTCACAATCTTTGGATCACCGCTGCTAATGATGTTTTGGAGGCGCGTTGGACAAGTGGGTATACTTCGTGACTTTTGGTACTTGAGGCTAGCTGAGGTTCAGCAAGTAACTTGAAGTTGTACTGCAAGTTCGAGAAGTATAACTTATAGAGTTACAAGTAGGCCGTTTAACTTATAAGTTCGATAAGTAGGGGGCTTGTACTTATGGAACTTAGAAGTAACTTAAGAACTTATAGCGCTTATGTTGAGTGAACTTAATTCTACTGATTTCTACTTATGCTTACTTTCTTTAAAGCTATTTATACTTATTTCTAGCTAATTCTACTTATTTCTATCTATTTTTAAATGGTTTTTGGAGGTTTTGTTGTTGT